ATTTTAATCCAAGAAAGATAATTAATTTGTTCAGGAATGCCTCCTAAATAAAACTCACAATGGTGGAAAACTAATATATTTAAAAAGCAGTTGAACATAAGCAAACCCATTAATTGGGATTACAGATTAAAGTAATCCAAACCAAATATTAATTAAGTGTAATAGCAAGATGCTGAGACATATAGTGGCATAAAAATACAGAAGAATAAGACAAATGGGGAAAAAGTAGGATATATTTTGATAATTCTTAAACTAGACAAACCTCAAAAGTTTAATTAAATAGGCCATACTTAAAGTTATCAAGAAAACAACATCTGATGCTAAAATATATTTTTCAAAGAACTTTTTGTGTAATTTTTGCATTTATTGAATTGTATTATTTGAGGTCTGGGCCTGAAACTTTAATAAGAGGGGCACAACTCGGATTAATAATCAATAAATAATAGTTTACCATAATTCCTGCATTAAACCTCCCACACACTTGGTGGCGCCACTGAACTTGGTTTGACTGCAGCAGGCTTTTATTTTGGTAGGGAAGGTTTCCCTCGGCGGAAGTAAACCCTGCAGGAAGCGCACGCAGTTCGCTAAATGAGAAAGAAAAAGGATTAATTCGTTTCGGCAACTTTAAAATCAAACAATTTCACCTTCGGTTGTTGTTTTTTTCTATAAATGAGCAAACATGGCGATCACTTTGGTAAGATTAGCAGCAAAGCTAACATCTAACTGTTAGCCAAATCGCTAGCATCTCTTTCCTTCACAACATTTCGATCAGTTATTTAAAAACTATCCGGTTTATTCATGTTTTCTTCATATAGTTCATTTGTTTTCTGTGTTTGTAGGATTTCCGGACCCACGCGGATCAGTCCTGCAGATATGCTGAAGAGTTTGTTAACATTTATTATGACTGTGTGGACAAGAAAAGGAGGGTGAGCCTCTTTTTATTTGATTTACTAAACTCACATGTTTCAGGGGCAAACAGCGACCTAACGAGGAGTTTTTGTTATTTTAAAATCTGCTTTTACTATTTTTGTTCCAAGCAGGAAGGAGAAGCATCATTTTAAACAAGCTGTTCAGTAGTGATGATGATTAGGGCCACTAATGGATAAAAATCAGATTTTAAAATTTTATTTCAGTTTAATATAAGAAAAAAAAGTCAGAATTCAGACTTTTATATTATTTCTGAAACTGCTTATTCCCGTTTTTTTTGGTCTATCAAACAATATAAGATGATATTAATATAAAATCAGTTTAGATAACATCTCAGCAGGTATAACAGTTTATTTCTCTATAATGGTTTAATGTCATGATGGCTGAAGGGAAGTGAATCCAGACGCTGCTTTCTGCTCTGACATCATGTCCGTCTCTCCAGAACCTGACCCGCCTCTACCTGGACAAAGCCACCTTGGTGTGGAACGGGAATGCCGTTTCAGGACAGGACGCCCTGGGCGAGTTCTTTGAGTCTCTGCCATCCAGCGAGTTCCAGGTTCTGACTCTGGATTGTCAGCCGGTTCACGGTCAGTAGAGTCACATCGACATGGTCTGTTTTAGGCCCATGAGTAGAGAACTGCTTCAGGGTCCTGTCACACCTTAAAGGAGAATTCCAGTTTTTAACACTTTTAGCCCATTTTCTGTAGTGTCCAGGATGAAATCGAATGATCGACATCAA